GCTTATTCTACTGAGCCATCTCCCCGGCCTCACATGTTCTTTCTTGATGGGCCACATGTAGAAAATCTCAAGGGCTCCAAGAGGGAAAAATCTATTGGTAGAGACTTGGTATGGAATGAACAATGTAGCATTTGTGATTAACTATATGCTTGTAGGGGTAGAGCATTCGGGAATCAGCTGCAGGAGGGGACAGGGCTGGGCCTGTCCTCAGCAACAACTGTGTTCTCTCCCAGGCAGATCAAGCTGCACTGCCAACCTGGGAGGGGCCAATCTGGCAGACACACACAAAGCCATGATCCTGGAACTCAATCCTTCTGAGAACTGCACCTGGACAATAGAAAGATCAGAGAACAAGAGCATCAGAATCATCTTTTCCCATGTCCAGTAAGGAGAATCTTCAGCTTTTCAAAGAGGGAGCTTGGCCTCTGGCTACAGAATTCAGCTGCAGCTGGAGGTGGTTGAGATGGTAGTAATTCCCATGCTAAAGATAACGATGGTGATAATAATATTTGACATTCATTGATGATGACGATGATGGTCATGGTGGTGAGTTGCAGTCTTTTAGTCTCAGTAAGTAGATAAGAATGCCTCCAGAATGCACTTAGTGCTTCCAAGGTCCCACAGTAATAAGTGGGACTGGGACCATAGCTCCTACTCTCACCCCATCTCGGTGCTCTTAGTCAGCACTCAGTACTTGGTGCTCTATGTCTCGTCCCACCTCCAGGCACAAGGTGGTGGGCTCCACCATCTTATTCAGATGTGGAGTGAAACCTGAGAATTTGTAGAGATACAGAATCCCAAGTGACACTGATACCACTGGTCACTTTGTGGGCTTCACCACTGAAGTTGGATGGGTTGACACAAAAGGAATCAAACCAGAAAGGGGGCTTTTTACCTTTCTGGAATGCTAGAGCTATCAAAAGGCATACTGTATTTTTGGTATGTAAAGAGAAAGAACAGAAAAGTGGGAAGAACAAAGTTACGTGAAAGATAACATTTAACATTTATTAGGCACTTTCTATGTGGCCCGTGCTTTATGTATGTTGTGGTGTTTTAAGAATAGTGTAAACTTGACAAAAAGCAAAAAAGTATGCTGTGACATTCCTCATTTGCTAGAAGAGAAAACTTAAGTCAAGGAAAGCTAAATTACTTGTCCAATAGCAGTTAAGCCACAAAGGTGGGAAGGGAACTCAGAGTTCTCAGCCCTTGTAATACTTGCTTTATGCCATCCTGGATATACAACCTCTGTAGACATTTGGGGGAGAACCTGTCAGAACAGGCAGTAAGCTGGAATCTGGGCCTTCTGGACACACCATGGGATGAGGCATCCTTCAGAATGAGGAGGTGGTGATACAGGGAAGGAAAAGCCACGGGGACGCTAAGCTTCAATTTACCCTGACAGAGGTGGCTGTGGGAGAAGAGGGACTTCCTTCAGCAGCCTTGGCTATCAAAGTTCCAGTGGGATCAGTTCTAATTGAGAAGGTTTTCCCTAGAGTCTCCTGGGCAGGGGGAACAGGAATGATGGAAATAGGGACAAGAACAGAATCCTGGCTTCTAGACCCACCTCCACCGTTTACTGCATGTGAGATGTAAGTAAATCAGTTCAGCTTCCCAGTCCCATAGAGGCTGGTGGTGTGTGGTTTAATCCTGAAGGTGGTGTGGACGCCGATAAGCCTTTGAGATGTGCCAGTGTTGTACAAATCAACATGCCAATGTGAACAGTTGACTCTGCTCTCTGAAGCCACCTAACCTGTGGCTCTTCGCCCACCTCAAGTATGTTCTGTTCACAGGCTGGATCCAGAGGGAGCATGTGACAGTGAAAGCATTAAAGTCTTTGATGGAAGCTCTACCAATGGACCCCTCCTGGGGGAAGTCTGCAGTGCAAACGACTTTGTTCCTGTCTTTGAATCATCATCTAATACACTCACATTTCAAATAATCACAGACTCTGCAAGCGTCCAAAGAGCTATCTTCCTCTTCTACTACTTCTTCTCTCCTGACACCTGTAAGTTGCTATCTAAACATCCTTTTCCTACGCTTCTTCTTCTTTTTTGATTATGCAATATTTGTTTATTTACACGATCTATTTGATTATAAAATATTATTTATGTGACCAGTTTATTTCACTTAAAATGTCTTCAAAGTTCATCCATGTCATAGCATATGCCAAAATCTCCCTCATATTCAAGGTTTGATAACAATGCACTGCCTCTCTATAAGCAGTCATCACTTATCCATTTATTTTTGAATGCATATTAGGTTGTTCCTACATTTAAGATACTGTGAAAAATTCTATTTTTTGCCAATTTTTTATTAGTGTACATAGGTTATACAGATGAATGAGGGTTTTTTTGACAGATTTATAGAAGCACATAACTTGACCCCTCATTTCATACTTTTTTTTCATACATTTCAATGTATACAATGTATTTTTATTATATTCCTGCCCCCTGTTATCTACCCTGGCACCTCACTCCTTCCCTTTTCCTCCCGTCCTCTTGTCTAATCATGGTTTTCCTGTCATCTTTTTTATGTAACATTTGCCTTTCTAAGTTTGACTTACTGTGCTCCATATGACAATTTCCAGATCAATTCATTTTTCTACAAATGACAAAATTGTGACCTTTTCATGGCTGAATAATGCCCTGTTGTGCACATATTATACCTTGCCTGTTCATCTTTCTCCCTATTTTCCTACGCGTCTGCAAACACAAGTTATGCCTGCTTCAGCTCTGGGGTTTTCAATCTTAGTTTGAGCTGTTCCCTCCGGGACCTCTCTGCTTGGGAGAGGCACAGTTCTTTCCCAGGGCCGTGCATCAAATAACCTGAAGAACTGGTTTGGTCACCATGAGAATTCTGATTCCTTGCTTCTGGGGGGAAGCTCCTGCAGTGGGGAAGAGGGCTTGGGATGGTCAGATGCTGTGTCCCCAGTAGAGACCCCACATTCAGCCTCTGAAGTAATGATGCAGAGACTTTTGCAATGATGATTTAGAACATTGGATGAAGATTGGAGCTGTTACCCTTCATGTTTATCAAGTCCCCCCGGTGATTCTAACAAGAAAAGTATGGAACCTGTGTGGAGTTGCCTTTATTTTATTAGATAGTTTCATTTTATGTAGTTCTACATGTGCAGTATCCAAAGTCCATTTTTACCCATAGCAGAATGTCATGAATTTGAGGAAGTAAGTGGGATTGTGGGAAATATTCCACTCTGGTTTGCTTTCCAAGGCCTAGAGAAGACCCTGATAGTCTTTTTTTCTAAATTTAATTTAATTTGATTTAATTTTTTTGGTGGAACCGAGGATTGAACTCAGGCCCTTGCGCTTGCCAGGGAAGCGCTTATTCTACTGAGCTATCTCCCTGGCCCCCCGATAGTCTTTTGCTTAACTAATTGATTTCTTTTTTCTTTCTTCTTATTTTTTAATGTATTTGATTGTTGCAGGGTCTCACTATGCAGCTCAGACTCATAGTGATCCTCCTGCTTTCAGCCTCCCCAGCACTGGGATTATAGGCATGAACCACTGTACTCTGACCAGCTCAGCCTGCCCTGTGAGCAGAGCTGGATAGGTATGTGGTGCTGGCGATTGAACCACTGTCCCTGTGCTTGCCTAAGTGTGCCTAAGCAGGTGCCTTAGTCCACTGAACTATCTTGCCTGCCCAATCATAGATTTCTTGGTGCCACCAAATTTTTAGAGTGGAGGAGTCAAGATTCATCCCAAGCTAGACCCAGACCACCTTTTTAAACTTGGTGCCTAGCCCTTTTACCTGACACCTACCCTACGATTTTACCAGTCTAGACGACTTCATATGTCCCTGGAAAGAGCCTTCAGTATTGCTTTATTTGTCCTGCTGCTTACTTAGGTACTTAATAGGGCAGAGAAGGATAGAAAGCATTGTTATGAAGCGTGCATCTGAGCTGCGCTTTGAACAATAGCATGGCCAGGATAGGGCGGTGCAGAAGTAGCAGAGCAGGAATGGATGGTAGAGCCAGTGGATTGAGCAGATCTGGGAAGAAAGAAGAGGCTGGGGCAGAAGGCTGCTTCCTAGTGGCACATGGATCTAGATGGAAAGGTGGGAGTGAAGGGAGGACGAGACTCCAATGTTGGTCTAAGAGTGTGAGTTTAGTTTCTGTTTCCAGGTAACAGACAGCCTCCACAGCTGTGATACATTTGGTATTACTCATTTGGAGCAAGATAAAGATCTGCTCTCTGCCCTGCATCAAAGGGCAGAAATTTTATAGATAAAGAACAGTCAACATCTAAATATGTAGTCCCTGGGAAAGACAAAGAAGAAATTACACCCGGGGAGGACATGTTAAACTCCATCCACTGTGCAGGAATTGAAAGAAGCCTCTATTTTGATTGACATTCTTTTTTTGTTTTTTATATTAATTTTATTGAGAAAGAAGTAGCAATGAGACAGTTTCAAAACAGGTTAGTAGGACAGTTACAATAATTAATATATTGCATAGTGTTTTCTTTGTAGTAGTTATTCATAGAACAAGATACAGACATGAGGGACAGGGACAAAAAAAGATACAGACATGATATCTTGTCTAAACACTATTAGTACAAATCTTTCTTCTCATTGAATTAAGAGAAAGTAGCTGTATATCTATGCTATTTTGTACATACACATATATACTTTCACTACAAAATGGTCCTTCATTTATATCCCTCTTTTTTGTTTACTTTTGTCAGAGATTGGTATTCCATTGCGATTCATCTATTGTAGGTGTGTGAATTCAGCAAAGTAATCCAATATAGTCCAGTAGTCTATGATAGTAGTGGGTTATCCACATGACTGGCTATGTCAGTTGTTGATTTGAGCCTTTTACAGCTCAGCATTTCAATATGGCTTTACTTTTTATACCTCGTTTTTATACTTTTCTGCTGGATGGTTAAGACCAAGATAAAACAAGACCTATATAACCAAAAATGTAACTTTTATATCTGCCAAGGTCAGTCAAATCCCCTCAGGATTTACCCTGAAACCCTGTACTGCACTTTGTAGATCCTTTGCCAGTGTCAACCATGTGGATGAGTCACGGCCATTTCTTGACCAATGTGCTCTCTGTGAAAGCCTGAGAGAATGTTTTCTCTCCATGTGACTCTCCTTAGGCACACTCTACATCATTGATCACTTTTCTCTGTGGTCTCATAATCTCCTTGATCAGAAAAAAAAAAATCCTTCTCAACTTTGTCTTTGCTGGATAGCTCAGTTGTTTCAAGTGCCACTTGGGTAAATGCATGCAGGCACATAGGACCGTGGTTCGATTCCCAGCTCCAGAAGCTGTACCAGACCTTCCCTTAAGGCAGCCTGAAGTAGCCAAAAAACAAAAAACAAAAAACTCCTTCTTGATTGACATTCTTGATCACCTTCATATCTCTTTCAGCAGTTCCAGATTGTGGTGGTTACCTGAACACTTTGGAGGGCTCCTTCACCAGTCCCAATTATCCACGGCCACACCCTGAGCTGGCTTATTGTGTATGGCACATACAAGTGGAAAAGGGTTACAAGATAAGATTGGACTTCAAAGAGATTTTGTAAGTGCTGGGGACCACTTCCTATATAACCAAAAATGTAACTTTTATATCTGCCAAGGTCAGTCAAATCCACTCAGGATTTACCCTGAAACCCTATACTGCACTTTGTAGATCCTTTGCCAGTGTCAACCATGTGGATGAGTCACGGCCATTTCTTGACCAATGTGGTCTCTGTGAAGAGAGGAGCAAATGCAGTAAAGCTACCTGGCAACTAGGGAGCCTAGGGAAAAGAAGCAGTCGCACACAGCCTCCCTGGGTGGGAACTTTTCAAGGAACTGATATAGAAAGGAAGACTCTCAGCAATATTATTGCACTGAGAGTCTAGTTGACTATTTTTCTGAATATTTGGAGGTCCCATTAAGTGAGAAAATCCCAGACTTGTCATCATCATATCCCTGAGATGCTATTGTAATAACAATCAGAATCTCTTAGGAATGTAAATGTACTGTGCCAGTAGATTTTGAATATGTTTTAAAACCTTTTTCACCAGAAGTTCTTTTCTTTAGCCTAGAAGTAGATGACCAGTGCAGATTTGATTTTATTGCTGTCTATGATGGCCCCACTACAAAGTCCGACCTGATGAGACAAGTCTGTGGCCGCGTGGCACCCACCTTTGAATCTTCCTCAGACTCCTTGACTGTCGTGTTGTCTACAGATTATGCCAATTCCTACCGGGGGTTTTCTGCTTCCTACACGTCAATTTATGCAGACGTCAACACTAGTAAGCTGTATTTTATATTTCTTGGCAATTTCAAGCTGTCCATAAAAACTGTCTCCCTGTGGTTAGCCTTAAGCACAAGCTTGTTAAGTACATTTGGGAATATTGTTATAACCTGAGGCTTGACAATCATTTCTGTGCATTGCTTAATATAAGAAGAAATAAACAGGGGCCAGGGAGATGGCTCAGTAGAATGAGCGTTTCCCTGCAAGTGCAAGGGCCTGAGTTCAATCCCTGGTTCCACAAAAAAAAAAAAAAAAAGAAGAAATAAATAATTTTATTTACCCTGAAAAAGATTTCTGTAGAAAATAGGGACTAGTTCTCAATGACTTAGCTATCTTAATCTTCCAGGTGACATTGAGGGGCATGTGGATTTTTTGGCTGTCCATAGACTCACCTGCACATGGAAGTCTAAGATCCAGAGTTCCTAATCATTACAAACATGATCATCCTTTTCCCTCTTTGTTTTCCCAACAGCATCTTTAATTTGTGACTCTGACAAGATGAGAGTTATTCTAAGCAAATCCTATCTAGAGTCATTTAACTATGATGAGAATAACTTACAACTAAATGACCCAACTTGCAGACCAAAAGTATCAAACGTCGTGGAATTTGCTATTCCTCTGGAGGAATGTGGTACCATCAAAAAGGTAAAGTGAAACACTGACCGATGGGGTCTGCCAAATGGCACCAAATGCTGGTAACACAGTGAGCGTAATCAGTGCTTGCTAGCTGTTTCCACAGAGCATGGCCAGCTCTTAATGGCTGAATACACGATGAACATGTGGAGACGCACAAGTGCTCGCAGTCATCCAGACATAAATGCCAGCTGTTCCATCCATTTTCAGGGTAGCAGGTGTTTTGCTTTTCCCCCAGAGGGTAAAAATCTCTGAAAATCCATGAGAGAGAATTTGAATGCCTAGGTACATTTTCTGCACAAACACTTTACATCTATATTTAGTAAAAATTGAGCTAAATTTTAAAGATCGTCTTCCTTTATAAAGACAGTTAATAAAAATATTGTCCTTATTTTAACTATGAAAAAATGTACTGTAAGTGTGTGATTTGTTCTACATGCTTTAGAATTTGGATTCAAGGTTTCAGGCACTTTTCAACTTCCAGATCCCGTTAGGGCATCTACTGTAAGCTTTTCACTCAGGACTTTAAGCAACAATCTAAAAGAAAAGAATGAGTGCATTATAAGAGGACTTGAGGACAGAAGTAAATCACTTTTGTGTGGCAAGAATGCACACAGGTTTGGTTACATTGAAGAAGACAGTTGAGAAACACTATGGAGCTCCTGCCTACATGCTTGGGAAGCTCCCTGATTAGGTACACTTACTGCTCATGTTAAGAATATGTTCTAGGCTTTAAAGCCTTTTTTTTTTTTCAGAACCGGGAATTGAACTCAGGCCCTTGTGCTTGCCAGGGAAGCGCTTATTCCACTGAGCCATCTCCCCAGCCCCAAATTGACTTTTTTTTAAAGACAGGGTCTCACTATGTACGTCAGTCTGACTTTGAACTCACTATGTAGTTTTAGATGTTCTCAAATTTACGTGATCCTCTTGCCTCAGCCTCCTGAGTGCTGGGATTCAGCTATTTACCATAATACCTGGCCTAAAATTGATTTTCATGTAACTGAAAAACTTCTGTTCAATTCTATTTCCAAGCTGTATCTCTCATTTCACATCATTGTTCATGTCCCTAAATATTTCTTCAATAAGACATTTAAGGCATATAGTAGTTTGACACAAAAGCTCTTAAGATTTAAGAAAAGTATGTCTCTATCTGTAAAAGTCATTCACATGTGTGCTCTAAAATATTACTGGGTTGAATTCCATCTTGTTCTGCAGGTAGAAGAACATTCAATTACTTACACCAACGTAATCAGCTTCCTTGTGTCCCCAAGTTCTGCAGTGATCACCCGTCAGAAACATCTGCAGATTGTCGTGAAATGTGAAATGGAATATAATTCCACCGTGGAGATAATGTACATAACAGAAGATGATGTAATACAAAATCAAAATGTGCTGGGCAAATACAACACAAGCATGGCTCTTTTTGAATCTAATTCATTTGAAAACCCTATATTGCAGTCCCCATATTATGTGGATTTGAACCAAACTCTTTTTGTCGAAGTCACTCTGCATACCTCAGATTCAAACTTGGTGGTGTTTCTCGATGCCTGCATAGCCTCTCCTACATCTGACTTTGGTTCTCCAACTTATGACTTGATCAAGAGTGGGTATGTAGCTGCACAACGGATGTCCGATATTCCTTCTCAGGAGTAATAGCGATTTTAATAAAATAATATTTTTGTATATATAGAGTGCTATTATCACGCAGTTTAAGTTCACCTTATTTCTTTAATTTAATTAAATTGATCTTAATTATTTTAGGAAATATAATTTCTGTGTACATGTCACAAAATTTTAAATTAAATCGTCTGTATAGACATAGCTCATATCTAGAAATTTAAGGGTATTTACAAATACAAAAGCAAATTTAACTTTTGTCAAGGGGGACCTCTTTATATTTTTGATTTTGTATATCTGGTTACTTTTAACAAAAACCTAAAGATTACATAACATAATCAGTAATCATCCGTTTACAACATAATATCTTCAGGAAAAGGTATGTAGCACTCTTAGAAGTATAAAATTCTTCTTTGAAGGGAAGTTTCCCTTTTTTCACCTAGAAAGCTCATAGATTTTATGGAGTCAGCCAGGCTGATATATTAATAACAAGTATGAGAGGCAGTGTTTGACTGTCCATTCATAGGTGTCAATTTTCTGATTTGTTCACATGGACAGGAATTTCAATGCTAGGAGGAACCTTACTGTGTTATCTAGGAATCAGATCCATAGTTTTAGCTCACTATAGTGTGAGCCACAGATGTTGTCTTTCTAGAGAAACTTGTAGATTCATAAATTAGTTTATCGAAAACTTGGTATCATCTCTTCTATCCTAGTATGGGAAAGAGGAACTACTGTGTATCTTTTGAATGTGTTCATAAATTCTGTTTCAGGTGTAGTCGAGATGAGACTTGTAAGGTGTATCCCTTATCTGGACACCATGGAAGATTCCAGTTTAATTCCTTTAAATTCTTGAGAAGTCTGAATTCTGTGTATCTGCAGTGTAAGATTTTCATATGTGATAGTGATGACCACCAGTCTCGCTGTAATCAAGGCTGTGTCACTAGAAGGAAACGAGATATTTCTTCATACAAGTGGAAGACTGATTCTATCATAGGACCCATTCGTTTGAAAAGGGATCGCAGTGCAAGTGGAAATTCAGGTAAAGAAAGATATTTCATGATCTAAGAACATTGCTTGTCCTATGATGATGTTGTGTGTGTACTTAGTACAGGGTCTACAGAGTCTCTCTGTAGATCGGACTCATACTGATCCTCCTGTTTTCAGCCTCACAAGTGCTGGTATTGCAGGCATGCACCACCACACCCAGTCTCAATTGCTGTCTCTGTGCCCTGGGGGTGGGGCCTGCACAGCATGCTGGGGTCGAACCCCGTCCCTGCATCTGCCTTAAGCAGGCACTTTAATGCACTGAGCTGTCGGACCGCCCCCCCCCCATTGCTTGGCTTATAACATGCAGTTGTTTTTAAGATGTACACTTCAGGGGTTTATGATGAAGCTTTTAGTAAATAAGTGGTGACTTCTAAGCACAGAGGGTAAATACTGGTTTTCTTCAGTTGATAATATGCATACTGGGTACAGTGTAAATATGAAACTCTGGTGATTCACCCGTGGTCACATAACTTCTGAGTATATGAGATCGAATTTCCTTTCACTTCCTGTTTGGTGTAGACACCATAGCCCAAAACTAAATCAGAAGCAATGTTTTTTCCCCTCCGATCAGATTTTATTGGTACATTTTAGATATTCATAGTGGTCACATTCATCATAGAGAATTTAGACTTGTACATGATATAACTTATTTCTCCCCCCCCATTCCTTTACCTCTCTTTAACCTCTCCTCCTTTCCCCATGTACAAAAGCACTGTTTCCACTTTTTCCTTCTTTTCTCATTTTTTAAAAATTTCTTTTCTTTCCTTTTCCACTGCCCTCTCCTTTATTCCCCTACCCATTTGAACATCTTCCAATTTCAGAGTACCTATCATGCATTTTGGTCCTTATTTATACTTTTGGTTTCTCACACCAGAGAAACAATGCAGTGCTTACCTGTGTGGCTGGTTTATTTCACTTAGGAGAATTGGCGCGAGGTGGATCCATTTACCTAGAACTGGCTTGAGCCTGTCTTTCCATATGGCAGTGTAGTGCTCCATTGCATAAAAACCCATGTCTTCTTTATCCACTCACCTAATGATGGACACTGGGGCTGTGTCCTACATTTGGCTACCACAAACTGTGCTGTATGAACATGGGTGTGCATATATCTCTGTGCTACGACATTTTTAATTCTTTTGGAAAAATGCCAAGAAGGAGAATAGCTGGGTCAAGTAGAACATGTAGTCCTGGTTTTTTGAGGAATCTCTACACTCATTGACACCGCGGTTGTATCAGTCTACATCATAAACAGTGAAGAAGGGCTCCTCTTTCCTCACAGCCCTTCCCACATTTATTACTAGTTGATTTCTGGATAATAGCCATTCTTTCTGCAGTGGAATGGAATCTCAGCGCTCTTTTAATTTGCATCTCTGGAATGACCAGTGATGCTGAGCATTTTTCATATATTTATTTGCTGTTCGTAAGAAGTATTTTAACTCTCAAAAAAAAAAAAAAAAAAAAAAAAAAAAAAAAAAAAAAAAAAAAAAGTCAGTCAGCATTCTATAGAAGAGCTTATTGGGAAAAAATCATTTTGTTGTTTCTTTCTTTTCCTTTTTTCTTTTTCATGGTACTGAGGGTTCAATCCGGCACCTTCACACTACATTCCCAGCCCTTTTTAAATTTTGAAGCAGGTTCTAAGTCACTCAGTTGCTCAGGATGGGCTTGAATTTACACTCCTCCTATCTCAGCCTCCCAGACTGCTGGGATTACAGGATCCATGTCCAGCTAAAGTTAGTTAGTTTTCTTTCTTTCTTTCTTTCTTTCTTTCTTTCTTTCTTTCTTTCTTTCTTTCTTTCTTTTTGAAACAGGGTCTCACTTTGTAATTCAGAATGGCCTTGAACTCATTATGTAACCCAGGTTGGCCTTGGACTCACAGCTCTCCCCGTCTCTGCTTCCCAAGTGCTGGCATTATAGCTGTATGTCACCATGCCTGGCTCCTAAAGTCACTTTTTTTAAAAACAGAGAATCTACTCTATTGACACAAGCAACTCAGCTCCTTTGTAAAGGCTTGGCACCCGAAACTAGTTAAGATTATAGGGGAAAGAGGTGATGTTGACTACTCTAGGATAAGCCATAACTAAATGGCTTAAGATAAGCCACAAGGAAGCAAAAGAAAATCTTTGAAGAGTTTGTCTTTGGTGTGATTGTGGCACTAAAGAATCCTATAGTGTATCTATTTATTAGTAGTTGTAGCATGTGTTTTTAAAGGAGTGATTCTGGCTTACAGTAAAACATTTCTTTGGCAAAAAGAACAGAGCACCAACAAAAATTAAATTCAGTAACTTGAATAAACACATTCACTGAAAGGCATTCAAGGTGAATGCATAGTAGGAGAGCGTTTGTGGCACAGTTCAGGGCAGAGCATCTCTAGAAGTGTGAAGTTAGTTGAAAATTTTTGAATCAAAAATTTGGTGACAATGGAAATGTTCTATATATTAGAAAATTATCCCTTTCCTGTTTCATTTTATTTTATTTTTTGGCGGAACCAGGGATTGAACTGAGGCCCTTGTGCTTACCAGAGAAGCGCTTATTCCACTGAGCCATCTCCCCAGCCCCTCCCTTTCCTGTTTCAAGGGAATAAATAAAATTGTTTCCTGCTGGCTAAATATATTTTGACAACTGTGGAAAACAATGATCATTAATAAATGGTCATTGTTTTTCCATTTGATTGTTATACTTGAACTTCACATTTTTGTATTACCTTAAGGAACCAAATTAAGTCAAGCAGTTGAAATAAATATATTTAACATAAACACAAGTTAATAAAGTATTTGATAATGGTTTCCCAGTGGTGTTTTGGAGTTATATATTAACTCATGCATAAGAGCTAAAGGGTGTGTAGAGGCATTATGAATGTCACCAACATTTTGTAATGGTTTTATACTGTTTTTATGCTTCCAATTACAGGAATTCTGCACCAGACACCTGCAGAGGAAACACAGAGCCAGCCCTTCAACAGTCTACATCTGTTCTCATTCATGGTCCTTGCTCTGAATGTAGTGATTGTGGCTACAATGACACTGATGCATTTTATAAAGCAACAGACAGGCTACAAATACCAGAGGCTGCAGGGCTATTAACTAGCCGGCTTAGTGCTAAGCAAAATGCTTTTCTCCATCATGCTGAAAAAGTGATACCTCGTGGCTATCCAGGCTATGAATAAAGTAGGAAGGTCCTGAAAAAGTGATGCACAGGCTTTTATGTCACTGTGTCAGTATATTTCATTAAAAGATGTCTGAAATGAACAAATATTATGTCCGTTAGCTCTCCTCTGAGGAACTGAAGTCATTACATGAATTAGAAGCATCTCTTTTCATAAACACGAAACACTTTAATCAAATACCAGATGAACAGAAAAGTAGTCTCCAAGTTCAATGCTTCTGTTTTTCAGGTGCTAGATAAACAACCCAAGTGTAAAATGCAAATAAGAAATGGAAAATAGGTTACTTTAGAAACATTAGAAGTCATAATACCTGAAACGGAAGCGTAGAAGAGTGCGGCGCAGTTGCTTTGCTTCCCGTGTTCTACTGCTGAGCATAGCCTCAGTGTTTCTCACCCTAAGCAGCTCAGAAAAGTAGGGAAGAACCTGACATGAAACAAGAGACTTCATAGTTTATGGATTAATGAAATAAAGTCATCTTTTTTCCTTGTATCATCGAATACCAAGGCCAATGATTAATCATGCTAGCAAGGAGTAGCCAGCTGCGATTGATAAGTTCCTGTGTGTCATGGGTGAGCAAATATTAAAACGTTGAAGCTAATTATGTTAGACAAGTAATACTGTCAATGCTTCCTCGTCACCTAGCAATACACACAATTTCTGGTTCTAGTAGTCATCCAAACAGGCATCTCCACTCCTGGGTGCCCACAACCACTCCCTGTAGCTCTGTGAACGCTCACTGCATGCAGTTTGCGGGAGAGAGGACGCAATGACGTGACAAACTGCCCTCTCCCAGAGTAAGTCCTGCTGGAAGATTCTTCAGCTTCAAATCAAGCCAAGTTGTCTCCTTTTTGCTCTTCATATCTCTATGCAGATCTTGTAAATATCTTACCAAGTAGCCATGCAATGAGTCTTCTTTATGTTCATCCATAAAACTTAAATCTGTTGCAGGGCCGGGGAGATAGCTCAGTGGACTAAGTGCTTGCCTGGCAAGCACGAAGTCCTGAGTTCCATCCCTGGTACCACCAAAAACCAAAACAAAACCTTAACTCTATCACAAGCTTCTTTTTTATTCTAATACCAAAACACCTGAAATTTAATTAGAAGGGGTAAAGAACATTCAGTATTTAAAACAGCATGATAGCTTGGTTTGGTGGCTTCCTTACAGATGTCTCTCCAAAAGGGAATGACTGAACATTCTTTGCTGACCAACAGGGCAGGTAAACAGAAGGTAAATCTGGCATGAACTGTTGTAAGAAATAAAATTATTAAATATTAATTATTAAATTATTAAAGATTGAGGCTCCCTAGAGCAGAAAGTTGTACTACCTGGAATCCCTGAAGACTCTTTGACATGGAGGTGCTGAGCTACACCAAGTCATTGTCAGTGTGTACACCACCATTCTTTTTTTTTCTGACACAGTGTCTTTCTATTTAGTTTAGGCTAACATTGAACTCACTATGTAGCTCAAGCTGGCCTTGAACTCATGTTGATCCTCCTGCCTCAGCCTCTTAAGTGCTGGGATTATAGATGTGTGCCACCACGCCCAACTGTACACTACATTTTATTTTTTACTTTTAAAAATATTTATTAATTTATTTGGTACAGGGTCTTGCTACACAGCTCTGACTTGTGATCCTCCTATCTCAGCCTCCCCAATGCTGGGATCAAAGGTGTGCACCACCATGCTTGGTTTCAGTGGCTGGTGCGGTGTACCTGGGGTTCTGGGACAGCATGGCCTGTGGTACTGGGGGATTGAACCCAAGTCCTTGTGCCTGCGAGACAGGCACTTAGACCACAGAGCTATCTCCCTAGCTCATACTCTACATTAATTTTTTTTCTTTAGGAAGAAGTATATTGATGCCTTGGATATAGAGTTGGTAGCTTGGCCTGTAGTTCTTCACACTTAACCTGGTCAGGTGTGCTGTCCACATCTCCACAATTTAAAATAGGGATGTCTTAGTTACTTTTTACTCGTTGCTGGGACAAATACTCGACACTCAAAATGAAGGAAGGAAAGGTGTATTTAGCTCACAGTTACTGGAGGGTTCAGTCCATATTCTGCTGGCTCCAAGGCAAATGACAATAGTTCATTGAAAGAAAACAATGAAGAGCAGAGGAGGAGCAGCATCTGCGGCGTCCACCAACCCTCTGTCTTCCTTCTATGCTGACTGCAAAGACTGGCGCTCCATGGCAGAGATCATAGCTCTTCCAAAGTGGTGGAGCGGCGAAGGTGAAGCTCCTCTGAAGACTGGGACTTCTCCACGGAAGCGCGCAGGCAGGGCGGCAGGAAGCCTTTCTCAGTTCCTGGGCCCTGCCCACCTGCAGGGCTAGACCCCCATGCTGAGAACTGCTAGAGCTGATTCAGCCAAGTTAACACAATGTATCAACTAACACAGGATGGTAGCAACTACTGTTTTCCTTGGTGTGGTGGGAGCTAAACAATATCTGCACAGTCAGGTCATCCCTGTTCCGTCCCCTATCAATGAAGAATTCTCAGTGCCGGTACCAGAAGCCCTTGCATGTTAGGACTTGTTTCTTGATCCACACTGGCTCTGACTACCATGGGTGGGAATTTCGGAAAATGCGCAGGGACTCAGAGGTTTCTTGAGAAGGATGTTCAGAGTCAGCCTGTGAGTGGTGGGTGAGGCAGGACTGTGACCCAATGAACTGGGGGCAGCTGCAGTTAAAGCTGCATAAAGCCAATTCCCTGTTGACAGGTTAGCTCTTGAGACATCCCATTGAGGTGCAGTGCTCAGACTTTATATCCCTCTCTTTGGTCAAGTTATGGCTATAAACTTGGACAAGACAGATGTCTTGAGTTGAGGAAGATTCAAGGGGAGAAGTGACACTAAGAGCCATCAGCCACGAGTGATCTCTAGCAGCCTGGAGAATGGATGACAGACAGTTTGAAGTGGGCTTTGGGTGACACCCCTGAGGAGTCACTGCACTCGCTTCCTAAAACAGCTAATAAACAGCTTACTAAACAGGATTTCAAAATGTGTCCTAAGACAAATCGACCTCTCTACTATACACAAGAGATGTCCTTCAAATATTTCAGAAAGGCTAGAAACAAAGGGAGGGTCAGTAGAATACCTGGCTCATGCCAACTAGAGGAGGCAGGGACTGGAATCCAGGCTATCCACTTGGGCTCAGCTGCCCTGAGGGGTGGGGTCATCTTGCTACTGTCAAGCAGGAGGAAAAGACCTGTCCCTGCTTCCTCACCCATGGCCTAGGCCTGATCTCACCAACACAGAATGAAAGGAGTGCCTCATCCTTTCCCCAGGAAATCGAGTCTTCCCACCTGGTCCATATCTGACAGGATGTGTGAAGGTGAGGGTTCTACTACTGTCTGGAGATGATGTACATCCACATTTCCACCTTGCCTTTGACCTCCTCCTTGTGAGGGAAGGAAGGACAGAAGAGGCATGATGGGGTTAGGCTCTGCACTCAACCTCTGCAGGTTGGGAGGTAGAGTGGGGCTCAGGAAATCCCTGGTGTTTAGCTGGAATAGGACAATTTTAGTCCAAAATTTTCCTGAATCACTGGATTATCTCTTTGCCCATCCTTTTGACAAAGAGAGGAGGTTTTCCTGGAGATTTTTCAGTGTACATCCTTGGTATTCTTCTGTTGCAGGCCTTGAAAAGAAGCGTTTTGCTCCAAAGGGCATGGGATGTTGAAGAAATTTAGCTTGGCTTTAAAGCTTCATTGCTCCTAAGAATCACCTGTAATACTTTTAGAGCATGTCACTTCCTAAATCTGGGCCCTTGAACCATACCAAGTAAACTTGATGTAGAAGTTCACTGGGGTTGATTGACTGATTAAATATTAATCCTTTTATTGTAAGTACTTTTCATAGTAAGGGTTTGTTGGCAGTCATATTACTAGCTGTTTTCTTTCTTTTAGGTGTTTTTTTTTTTTTAAATACTGTGGGTTGATCCCAGAGCCTCACACATGCTAGCCATGCTCTCTATCACTGAGCTACATCCCCAGCCCTCCATGCTAGGTTTTGACAGCTGTTAAGCCTCTGTCTACCTCATCAACACATTATGGATAGGCATGGTTAGTAGCGTGTTGATCCTTGGAAAGTAGCAACTCTGCCATCCCATGACTCGTTGGAACAACTCATTTGTTCCTTTGAATCATTTATGTGAAACAGACGTCAGATGCTAAAAATCATTGTTTACTGTGGCTAAAGATTAACCCTGATTTAAAGATGTTTGGTTCACCATATTGGCCAGAGGCCACATTTCATCAGTTTCTCTGTGTTTGAGGGAACTTCACAACATAATTATCAGCATCATATTTTTACCAACATAGTTATCAATGAAGGACATGTTCCTGACAGAACTGAGGTGTTCTTATTAGAAAGAACAGCCTTTTGGGTTATTTGTCAGATATTTGTCTTTTAGAAGCTGAGAGGTGGCTCCCAGGTGCACCAGACAATGCCCATTGCCTTGTGGGACCTCACAATACTGTTGCCTCATCTCTTACATCTCTATTTATTGACAAAAACTGGAACAACTTTTTAGAGATAGGAGTTCATATTTTAAACATTGCTAATACATTTTCTTAGCAAAAACAAAGCCATCCGTGTGCAAGTCTGCATATTTATAGGAAGTCTTGAGACTGGCAAGGCTACGACAGGCACCTTCCTGTCACAGGAAGCAATGCAGGTGCTGTCGTTCTCTAGCAGGAGAACACTGGAGCTTGTGGATTGTTCCCTGTTTGTTCATGTGCTCCTCAGGTTTCATGGATGATGTGAGAGCTGAGAAACAGACTGAGAACGCTACCAAAGGAGGAGCTGGCAGCTCAGAAAGCAGGGACTGGAAATCCCAACCCAATAAAGCTGGCCTGCAATTTATTCCCTTTGAAACAAGACCAGTTAAAGCTTGTTTTAATGAGTCAATGATTCTACTGTCTCATTACTAGAGTTTAAAGAAAAATGACCAGTGGCTTCCTGACAGACACTTAGTTTATTTTTTCATAAGATGGTTAGCAAGATCTGAAAATTATCACATCACCAGAGCAACAGAAGAAACATCCACCTTTTAGCATCTGAATAATAAGTAATCATTAAAAAAAAGTTTTTAAGTTGCCCATGAGGTAGAGGGAGACAGTCCTGTTTTTAATAACATGTTGTACACCTTACATCAATTATTAACTTCTTGATAGAGAAGAATGAGAAAATCAGCATTTTTAGCCTAGAAAGTAGAACTGCCTCACAAGTGCAGTAATTAGAAATTTATTTACTAATAAACCTCAGAGCAGCAATACTTCTGTTTATCTTGCCTGTGTTTATACGGATCATTTCTAATTTATCAAACACAGCTTCACTGCAAGAAGTAGACTGCTCCTAATTTCTAATATATTCACATACAAATTGGAGAAATCACACTTTAGTCTTGCTCTATCTGGATATTTTGTGGACCACTAGTGGTCCCACTATCTGGAAATGGTCAGTATCCTCTTCCTTGTGCTCTAAGGGATCTGCATTTCTCCTTTTTCGCCCTGCACAGCCCTGGGAACAGCGGGAGGAGTAGTCCTTTTCTCTGCACATGATGATCTTACATTGCAGGTAGATCATATCATAGCTGTTAAGAACGCTGAAGGCATTGAACTTGAACTGGGCCACATTCTTCTGTGGAGAGTGAAGGTTGACGTAGGTGTTGTCTTTGATGCACCTGATGGGGGAGAAATCAAGGCCAAAAAGGATTAACTTAAAGCATGATGTAAATTTACTCTAATTCAAGTAAGAAGGCTTGAAATCCAGATTTCTGAATTGCAAATGAAGCTTTTCCCTCTATACACTCTTTCTTTTATACAGAAACTGCTATCACTCCTATTCCAACTCCCACTATAATTTTAACATGACTGTAGTGGAAAACCACTGTTCCTATACATAAATAGAAAGGGGCCGTGAAATAAAAAAATGAAAGAAAATGAGGTCATTAAATTTTAGCTAGAATGCTTGTCTTCTAAACACCTAGTCTATCTTATCCAAAGGGAAGTGGTTTATAAATGGTTTATTATTTGAAGGTGAACTGTGATTAATTTAAAAATAAATATTGTAGATCATAACACAGTTGCTGAAAAAGTTAAAGAAAGTAGTATAAATAATCCAAAGAGAGGAGGTAAAGTGGAATCATACCAAAATCCTCAATTAAAATCAGAGAAGGAAGCAAAGAGGAGGGTATTGGGAATGGAGTAAATAGGTTGTGGGTTTTAATCTAACAGTATTAGAAATCATTTTAAACATGAATGATCAGGAATAATTTAAATGATCATAAAATAATTTAAAGACATAGTAAATTAAAAAAAAACAAGATCTAAATATATGCTGCCTACAAGTAACCACTTTAAATATAAAGGTGCAGTTAAAGGAAAAGGGATAGAGAGTGATATACTATCAGTAACAATACCAACCCAGATTAAAGTGCCTGCAAGCAGGTGCAGGGGACAGGGGTTCAATTCCCAGGCCTGTTGTGCCAGTCGCACACCCAGGGCACACTGAGATGGCAATTGAGACTGGGCGTGGTGACATGCACCTGTAATCCCAGCTCTTGGGAAGCTGTAAACAGGTTGATCACTAGAAGTCCGATTTACTAGTGAGACCCTGAACACCCTGTAGACCCCTCTCTAAAAATACAAAAAAAAAAAAAAAAAAAAAAAAAACTCAATCAAAAGAAACCTTGAGAAGCTGTATTAATTTAAGACAGAAGTAACTTTAGAACCAGGGTGACAAGTGACAAAGAGATGTATTACAAAGCAACTAAAGATCAGTGCTCTAAGATGATCCTTCACCACGATAACCAAGGTAGGGATTAATATTTAATCCAATATAACCATCCTTAATACATATGTACCTAACAGACAGAGAACCAAAATATAGGGGGTAAAAATTGATGGATCTGCAAAGAGAAATCAATAAATTCATGATTATGTTTGGATAGTTTAGTATTTTCTCATTATTGTGGCTTCTATTCAGATATTCCATCTGATCCCCAATGTCTTATATGCTCACAGGTGGGGCTTTTTGGAGCTGGCTGGTTCTAACACACGTGACACTGAGACTAAAGGTGTGCAACACTAAATTAGTCCACTGGTCAGAATTAGTATAGTTCTGGGTGGAGACAACGCAAGGCCCACTCTGGGTAGGGTGACATCACCCAAAAGGCTTGTAGCCTACAGGGGACAAAAGAGAAAGGGAGGCTTGCTGCTGTTGCTTTCTACCTGCCGCACCATGGACTGCTTCTCCTCTGCCTTGCCACCCTGGTTTGGAGTCCACTGACTGTGGACTGAAACCTCTACAAACTGTGAGTTGCTGTGAACATTTTCCCCTTTAACTTGTGTGTGTTAAGGACTTTGTCCCAGCAATGAGAAAAGTAACTAAGAGGAGTTTGGGAAATGGTGCTGTTGCTGTGACATCACCTGGCCATGTGGTTCAGGAGTCATTGGAACTGGCTTGCAGGATGAATTTAGAAGCTTTGGAAATGATAGCTGAAGAAGTAGCCCTGGAATGCTGCACAGTGACTTGATGGGAGATTCTGGTCAGATATCAGAAGACTGGAATGTTGGTAGAAATGCATCCAGTTAGAACAGGCTCAGGAAGTTTCACTTAGAAACAAGGACTGCTCTGGCTGTTGGACTCCAGAACATATGTACTACACTTTGGCAGGAAATGGGCCTGCATTGTTTTCTTGTCTCAGGATGTTGCTTGAGACTGAGATTAAGGGTACTGGATTAATTAATCTAGCAGAAAAAAAAATTCAACATAGTCTAATGTTGAGACAATGGCATGACCATTGTTGGGGACTTTTTTCCAGATCTATGTTGAAAATTAAGAGCAAAGAGCCCAGAAGAATGACGTTTAAATGCTGTGAGTTCGACCAAAAAGAAAGCTGTGATAACATTATGGACTGTAACAATGGAGTAGTAAAGGTGGAGAGCTTGGTTCCTGAAAAGGAACAGGACAATAGAAAAGACAGTCTGAAGACATCACAAGAACCAGCAGGACTCTTCTTTGCAGTCTCAAGATTGTAAAGATGACAGACTTTGCTTTGAGAAAAGAGCCTCAGAATACCAGGTCCCAGAATAGTGGTGGCTTAGGGAACTCATTCCTCAGGACTGAGTTTATAGCACTGAGCAACTAGGCACTTGATGCCGACAACCAAGAGAGAAGGATGCCTAGATACTGGTCCAGCTGGTAGCAGACCTTGGTGTTGACCACATGGTACTGATTTTAGGTGCATGCTGAATACAAGACTTGTGAGGTCAGAAAGGCTTCCACCCAGATTTCAGAAGAAGGCCTGGGAGGCCAGGAGGTGCAACCCCAGGAAGGCAATGTGTGAAGTTGTGAGCATGAAGCTAAAGGCACAGTGCAGATACCAGAAGGCTGGAGAAACCAGGAATGTGGACCAGTTGATTAAGCTAAAGATTAAGAGCAGAACTATTGCTTGAAAATTCCCAAATATTTGGAAAGGAAACAACATACTTTTGAGTAACTGATGGGCCAAGGAGAGAAAATGGTGCAGTAAAGGCTGGAAGCACACCATAAGCTTTGTAGGGCCTGGAATCCAGACACTGAAGAATAGCAACTTAACAAAGAGGTAGTAGCAACACAATTTTTCTACCTTGTTTTTCAAACTACAGGAAAAACTAATAGAAATATGAGAAAGCAAAAGCAAGGCAAGTAGGTGTTCCTCAATCCTTGCCCTTGTTCCTCAAAAACTGCTCTTACAGGGACTGAAATGGAGAATGCAAAAACCAAAATGAATGTGAAAGTGTTTGAAGAGCTCAAAGAAGAAACACATAAGCAACTTTGTAAGATGGAGAGTGAACTTAAAGAAAATTTTATTAAACATAAAAGATTTTATTAAAATGTTTGATGAGAGTCTCTAGCTGTAGCTGGCTGCCAGGCGTACGCACTCCCGAGTCTTCAGAACCCGCGGCCGCCATCTACAGCGCTTAGGTTTCTCCTAGGCTTATCTGCACCACTTGCTCACCACACACTCCGCCACTGTAAACCGCCATCA